CACACACACACACACACACACACACACACACACACACCCACACACACACACACACACACACACACACACGGGCGGTAACTACACGGCGGTCACGAAAACAGTTTGACATTGCACTTCAGGCATGCCCCCAAACTTAAGACCCCCTCTTGACCATACTGGACCGGAAAGCTAGCTTGTATACAATCAGCATTTCGAGGCCGAATGCCTGAAGTGCAATTCCAAACTGTTTTTGTGATAGCCACGTAGTTTTCCCAAGGAAAGAACATAGGCCTCTGGTGCTGCGTTCCCTGCACCCCCCGGTAGGCAATATCCCAAAGATTCGTAATGGTGAACACCTTTTTCTCCTCCTCCATCAGCCATGGGGAGTCTTATGTGGGTCGCAAGAGGTGGCAATCTGCCATTAGGATGACATTGTTTCCAAAGAGGGGTTGCCTCCAAATTTCCTTTGTTTTTTTTTTTTGTTTTTTTTTTTGCCAAGGAACAGCCCGGGCGTATGCTAGGGGGCTCCATCTATTGGTGGGGAGCAGCACATGCTGGAAAGCGGGTCCAGTGTCCCTGAACATTGTGATTGTTTGTGTGACTAAACAAGCAATTGAAATGACTGCAAGCTACTGGCCTCACTTCTAAAGAAAGAAGTTAGGCGGGGAGAGCTACACAGCAGCCCGAGTTGACAGCCTAGGGTAAATGGTAGTATACACTGCTATGTAAGGGGAGGGAGTAATTTCTTAGGGCTCATCTTTCTGCATAGTTGTATAAATGAGGGTCACAGCGGGTGTGCATGGAGATCGTATCTCGCCAAATCCCAAGGGGCTGCCGTCCTTCTTAACTTTTTTGACTGACGTGGAAGTTACCATGCAAGTTTTTATTATTATTATATTTATATTTATTATTATTATTATTATTATTATTATTTTATTATTATTATTATTATTTATTATTATTATTATTATTATTATTTATTATTATTATTATGATTATTTATTATTATTATTATTAATTTAGTTTGTTTTTAATGCAAGGTTTTTAAACCACATTAGGGAGGGAATGAATGACATGTTGCGAGGAAATGTGAAAAGGAGTCAGTCTTGTTAAACCACCAGTACTTTGTAAAGTCGTGCCTGTATAAAAGCCACAATTTCAGGAAACGTACGGGCCACTACAGGAGCGCCCAAATTCATCTGACCAGATATTTTTGATAATTTTTCTACTCTATTTTTTCTGCGGCTGCTTGCTGAGCCAATTACTGGTGGTTTAAAACCTTCTGAATGCAGCCACCATCCCTCAGTTTTCGTATCCCAATCAATGGTCATGTCCTTTCTCTATTCTTTTTTTTTTTTTTTTTTTTTTCAACTCCGGGCAGGGACGCTCAGTGGGTGGTATGAGCACCCCATGCCAGCAGCGATTGAGAATAAATTAGTAGTAGAATTCGTGAGTGTCGACATCACCTTCTTTGTTGCTCTCGTGATTACTACGCCATCATGTGCAGAAAAAAAAAGAAAAAAAAAGAGGAGGTGACTGGTGCTAGCTGTCGAAGAATCTATGAAATGGCCAGACAGTCGGTGCTTCCAAGGCTATGATGAGAGAGGGGGAGATCGAATCAAAAAAATCACCTTGTTGAGTCCATAATCTCTGAAGGGGAAAATGTAGGGACTAATCATCTTTACCGTTACGGTACCATTCGTAGCTGCCGAGCAGTGGGAAATTGATCCATCTTCTGGGGTTCAAGTTTGTCCCAAGGTTCTTTTTTTTTTTTTTTTTTTTTCTTCAACACTGCCGAGGCGTGGGATGCTAGGAGTGCTGATAAGAGCAATGTTAGGAGGCACAAGTCAAGGAAAAGTCTATTGGATGTACTGTGCTATATCCCCACGAATAACCTTTTTTTTTTATATTATTTTTTTATTATTATTTTTTGGAACAATGCTCCAATCTATTCGTGGGGAGCAACACGTGCTGGAAACCGGGCCCGGGCCCGGCATCCCATTTGGAACCATATTTGAGAAGATGTACAGTAGTATCCGCACGAACAGACTGGATCATCGGTTTTCCAAAATTAAAATGTTTGAGGGATTCCCCGACGTGCAT